AGGGAAGGAAGGGAGGAAGGAAGGAAGGAAGGAAGGAAGGAAGGAAGGAAGGAAGGAAGGAAGGAAGGAAGGAAAGAAAATGCCCCCCGTCTTTCCAACAGGCTTTCAAATACGAGTCTGACATAAAAGACAAATCACGGCATCACCAACGGCAATGGCTAAGATGTACAGTGTATACACTCCCCACGACTTTCACAGGCATCCTCTCCTGCAAGCCTGGTCACGTCACCACCCTCTGCTGCAGGCTCCCTCCCCATCCCACTGAGCCAGTGTGCCTCTGGCTGGCCTGAGTAGGGAGAAGGCAGTGGCCTTTCCTGAAGCCTTGAGTTCTCACGGAGCCCTCCCTGGCTAGAGAGGAGAAGAAGGCTTCCAGGGAATGAGGAGAAGCGGCCCCCTGCATCCTGCTCCTGCACTTTTCCTTCCTTCCAGCATTCTTCGCCACCCCATCTCCACCCGTTGCGCCCATAAACCGTGGGTCCTCTTGTCTCTGGGCCACTTTGGCCTCCCCTTCCTGAGCACATCTCCTGGGCAAGCGCGGCCATCTGCCTTGGCATGTAGCCATGAACCTCCTCCTTGGAGCCAATCCTCCTGGATGTTTGAACTGAGCTTCCAGCAGAATGTTCCCTCCTGCCTCCTGCCGCCCCTGTGGTCCTGCCCACTCCCCACACGGGCTCTGCTGCTCCTGCCTGTCAAACCCGGTGGAGGAAGGAGAAAAACACTTTCCTCATCCTGTTCACCAACTGACGAGCCTTCTGGAAACCCAATAACAAAGCGTACCTAACTAAATCATCATTATTTACACATGCAGCCCGATTGAGGACATTTAGTCATGTAATTAAGTACCTAATTATGCTGAAAATGCAATTATATGATTTTTTAAATGAATTAAGTCCTCCAGAGAAGTGGTAAAGATTAGCACGCAGCATCTGTCTGGGGAGCAGGGACCTCGAAGGGCACCCAAATGTGACTCCAAGCTGCACAGGGGCCAACTGGTCTGAACCCAGATCACATGTGTGAGCACACACGGGCCCACACAGGCTCACACACAGAGGATGCCAGCTTCACCTCTGTGTCTCCAGAACTATACAAAGGTCTGCTGCACCAGGAACTTAATAAATGACAGTCATTAATGTCATTGGAAGCATAGTGTATAACTATGGAGTGACTATTGAGTGACTTAGAGAATCTTAGGGAGGTTTTTTATCCAGCATCTGAGAAGCAGGTGTGTAGAGAAAGAAAAAAAAAAATGAGAGAAGGATCAGGGATCAGCCAGGACATGTCAGAGGATATTTTAAGCAACATCACTCATTCATTCAGATGCTAGAGCAAAAAAAAAAAAAAAAAAAAAAAAACCACAGTCAGTGTCTTCTAGGAGCTCAAAAATTAGTGCAGAGTCAGCCGGGCCTGGTGGCTGACACCTGTAATCCCAGCACTTTGGGAGGCCGAGGCGGGTGGATCACCTGAGGTTGGGTGTTTGAGACTAGCCTGACCAACATGGAGAAACCCCATCTCTAAAAATACAAAATTAGCCGGGTGTGGTGGCGCATGCCTGTGATCTCAACTACTCAGGAGGCTGAGGCAGGAGAATCGCTTGAATCCGGGAGGCAGAGGTTGCAGTGAGCCAAGATCGTGCCACTGCACTCCAGCCTGGGCAACAAGAGTGAAAATCCATCCGAAAAAAAAATTAGTGCAGAGACAGAGAAAGCATCTTAATGGTGATATGAACAGGTTGTTCAGCAAACTACAGCCCGTGGGCTAAATACAACCTGTGGCCTGTTTTTGTACAGTCGGGTAAGCTAAGAATGATTTTTACCTCTTTAAGGTGTTTCCTCACTTCCACCCCATGCAACTCAGGTTCCAAAACCACAGTATTAATCACTCAGTGTACATCTAAAACTCCAGTGGGGGGTCCAGAGTGATCATTGCGTGCAGGAGCCAAACCTCATGTTTCTTTACAAATATGGAAACAAAACGGTGGAGTCAATTTTTTTTTTTTTTTTTTTTTTGAGACTGAGTCTCGCTCTGTCACCCAGACTGGAGTGCAGTAGCCGGATCTCAGCTCACTGCAAGCTCCACCTCCCGGGTTTACGCCATTCTCCTGCCTCAGCCTCCCGAGTAGCTGGGACTACAGGCGCCCGCCACCTCGCCCGGCTAAGTTTTCGTATTTTTTAGTAGAGACGGGGTTTCACCGTGTCAGCCAGGATGGTCTCGATCTCCTGACCTCATGATCCGCCCGTCTCGGCCTCCCAAAGTGCTGGGATTACACCAAATTGTTGATGAAAGAAAGATTCATTATATCTTGGAAAAGGAAGCCAACGATGTGGATAAGGATGAAGAGGTTGAAGTTGGCCACAGGAATTGTCAGAGGAGATGGAGAAAGATGAGGCCAAGAGGAGAAACTGAGTCTCCACACTTCAGTGTAGGGTTTCCCTCCATGAGGCCAAAATCCAAGGGAAAACCCAGAGCCTCCCCTCAGATAATCCTGGCAGGGGACTCTCAATGAGTGTAGGGAGTGAGAGGAACCTTTCCAGTGCCTCTAAGAAACTGTTCACACTGGTGATCCCTGAAAGGACAGCTGAGTAGCACACCGATAACAAACTCAGGCAGCTCGAGAAGCAAAGTCTGTGGCCAGCAGTGCTGTGACTCCAAATGCCCAGCCTCTGACCTGCTCCCTGAGAGGTCAGAACTTCCCTTCATTTCCACCTGCAGAAGCAAGGGACTGGGGGTGAACCATGGACTGAAGCCACAGCCCACATTTCTCAACCTGCAATTGCAGCCCAGGGAAAGGGTGGGAGGAGCTGTGGTCACTGAATGCACTCTCTCTTTTCCACAACATGCATGTCTTTCTTGGAAATGAAAACGGCTACTTGGAGTATCTCCTGACCAGGTTAGGCAAAGGATGTGTGGACACAAGACTCAGAGGGCCATTCAGAGAAGGTGGTCATGGTCCTGCTATCCAACCACAGCCTGATGCCAGCTCGCAGGAGACACTGCAAAGCAGGTGCAGGCACCCAGCAGGAACCTGGAGCAAGGCAGGCAGGTGAGGGCGGCGGGAAAGGACCTTGACAGACCTTCTAGTCGGCGACTTTGAAGATTCTGCAAGACAATAACCAGTTCTGAAGATCCATCCCCACTTCTTCACTGTAAAAGTAACACATGTGTTTTGTAGATGACTTGGAAAACACAGACAGCCATATATTAGAAGGAAACAAAACCACTCCTAACCCATCTACTACTTAAAAGCCAGTACTTAACATTTGACGTGTATTTCCTTTCATTCCTTTGTCTTAAGACTTTTGTGGAATATTTCTCATCATTTCTATTTAGAGGGTCTTGTTTTCTTCACTTAACATCATACCCTAAGCATTTCCTCCGGTCACTAAGTTCACGTGCACCCCTTCCCTAACTGCATAATACTGGGTCATATGCGAGTATCGTAATTTACATAACCAATGCCCAAATATGGAACATTTAGATTGTTCTCTCTCTTTAATTTTTCATTTTAGACTGCATTGCAATCTACTTTCCTGAGCCCAGACGTTTGTTCCTGATCCAGATTGTTTCTCTAGGATCAATTCCTAGAAGTGGATCGCTTGATTCTCAGGGTGATACATATGCCAAATAGTGTACCAGAGTATTGAAGGTACTTGTTTCTAGGAATCCCATTTTGACATATTGACGATCAGAATAATTAATGTTCAAATAGCTTGACCTATGTCAGGCACTATGTACCACAAACTAGCTTACAAGGAGGCTACATGGTTGTGCCACCAGGTTTTACATGTGAAGAAACCGTGGTTTGCAGTGAGATGAGATTGCGCCATTGCACTCCAACCTGGGCAACAGAGCAAAAATTTCGCCAAAAAAAAAAAGGAAAAGGGAAAGGGAAAGGAAAAGAAAGAAAAAGAAAAGCTACATAGCATTCCTCAAAATAGTCTGGCCATGAGTGTCGCCACTGAGGTGCCACTCCCTCACCTGTCTGCGCCATGCCTGGCAAGTGTGCTGACTTCACAGCAGGGCGGCCAGATGCCTGGCCCTGAGCCTGGCAGATGGGTGGGTCCAGGAGCACGGTGTGCAGGATTACACACCCTCACTCTCCTCAGGGAGGTGTCTGGATGGAGCTGAGGCTGAAAATTGGTGTGTCCAGGGTATTCTGCATTCCAGCCACCTCTGGTGGAGCTTGGAGCTGGCAAGTCAAGCAGACACTGATTGGGATACACGGGCCTTCCTGGCTCCTCAGAACATCTGCACACAGCCATTTCCTTTGCCATTTTGGTGCCCCAAACACCTGTTTTTGGAGAAGCATTTCCCTGCTGCCTCACTGGGGCTCAGCTATCCTTAAATCAATCAGCAGTGGTCTAGTAGGTGGATCAGCTGGGAACACGTGCTTAATTTTCCAACAACAAGGCCAAAAAGACTGCAGTCCCAGGAGCTATAGAGCAGAAGGGCATGTGCATGGACCAGACCCTGGCACAAGGGCCCCAAATCCCCAAACCCAGCACCAGGCATAGGGGCAGGCAGGAGACAGGCAGAAGGAATAGATTCTGAGTCCTCCACTGTGCCCAGTCCCCATCTCTGTCAGGGTGGGGTTCTTGCGAGCCTGGATGCTGACTCACTCTCAGACGGCATGTCCCGCTTCTCCCCTCAGCTTCAGTTCCCTCTTAAGGACTCTGTTCTCTTTCTGCTGTGAAGATCCCTTGGCGTGATGCAGATGCAGGGACAAGTCAGAGGTTACACGGCGGGGACTGCCCTTCTAGTGTGCTGAAGCCGCCAACTGTTTAGGGCAGCTTTCTGCTTCCACGCTCCTTTCAGCAATCTGGGCATTGTCTTAAGCCTGAGTTTCTTCAGTTGCCTGCTGACCCCAGACACCCACTCCAGTCCCTACCCACCTCCAGCAGCCAGATGCTGACCAAGCCCCAGGAACTTCCCAGACATAAGAGCCACTAGAATCGCCTCCTCCCCACTCTTCCTGCCTCTTTCAAATTTGATTTCCCTAGAAATCTTCCAGCAGGGTGTGTCTGCTGGGGGTCAGGCTGGGGAAATTGTGGTTCTGCTTTCCTTCAATCTATGCCATGAGTAAAGAAAGATATTTGTGACCAGGTGAGGTGGCTCACGCCTGTAATCCCAGCACTTTGGGAGGCCAAGGCGGGCGGATCATGTGAAGTCAGGAGTTCGAGACCAGCCTGGCCAACATGGCGAAAAACCCATCTCTACTGAAAATACAAAAATTAGACAGACATGGTGGCAGGTGCCTGTCATCCCAGCTACTCGGGAGGCTGAGTTCAACTGGAGAACCCACCACTTGAACCTGGTGGGCGGAGGTTGCGCATTGCACTCCAGCCTGGGTGACAGAGCGAGATTCTGTCTCAAAAAAAAAAAAAAAAAAAAAAGGATATTTTCTGCTTTCCTGATAAATTACAAATGCTGCACCATCCACAGCTGACAAGTTCCTCTCCCCAGTGGTGGACAAGGGTAACTCCACCTTGCTCAGCCAGGCTTTTATCCCCAGATTCTTCCTCCTTCAGGGTGCCTTGCTGATTTCTGCTGTTGTCAGCATCCTGGACTTAGGAGTCGATGGTTCCGCTTTTTCATATTGTCTCCTCACAATGAAGAAAAAACTCTTTCCTTTTACTTAGATATTGTAGCTCAACTGAGGCAGATTGGTTATGGTGTTGAAGTAAGGTTGTGTTTAAATTTTTTTTAAGGCTCAGGGGGAATAACAGGGAATCTATACAGAGAAAACCCTGGAACCAGACAGTTCAAGTTCTAAGTCACGGCAGCCTCACTTGCTTTCCAGTTCTCCTCCTGGGAGCACATCCCAAAAGCAAATGACTAGGTAGGAAAAGTTCCGCAGCAAGACTCCAAGATGTGCGTAAGGAGCAGATGTCCTTTGCTGACTCTGCCGTCTGAGTGTTGAGCCTCTGCTTCATCCCAGTTTACTGACATGGGAATGACTGTCTTCTCCGGGGCAGAGAGGCCACGTCTCCTCCACACCCACCCTTGCAGGCCTCCACACTTCCATCCAGATGGTGCCGTGCAGCCTGCATGGGTCCAATCCTGTCATCCATGTGGTGTTTTGGTACCGCAGCCACAGATAAGACCGGATAAGGTTTAGGAGGAGGAAAGCACTGCGGATAGTCTTACATAGAGTGTCAAAGCAGTACAGCTAAATTGCACAGCACCTTGGCAGCCCTGGGGATTGTTGGGGGACTGTTTATAAGGTCACCCATATGGACCTTCAGGGCAATCATAGTGACCTTGAGACTTTCAGACACGTTCTGAACAGGCAGGTCAAGTTCACATCAACCTCACCTGTGTATTCCATCGGCAAGACCAGATGAATGCACATGTGCTTTCTGCACAGACGGGAAGGGTGGCCATGCCTGAGAGTGAAGGCAGATTGAAGATCTAATAGCATACATCCAGCAAGTCCCTGGAGCCCATGGTGATCAGGCATCCAGGAAGGCTCTCCACCCAACCCAGAAACTTACTGACCAATCTATCATCACGGCCTTCCCTTCGTGTATCTCTCCCACCACCATGCCCACTACCACACTGGCATTGCCCACCCGCCATCTCAGGACAGACTTGGGGCCACCTGTTCCAGGAAGCCTTTCCTGAGGACACTGAAGATCTGTGGGCTCCAACAGAGAGCAACCTTTTCCCAACTTACCCACATGCATTTGTCCTTGTCGGTTACACAGTGTGCTCCTGACTGCAGGGGCTTGGCCTTAACGATAGAGCATATGGCTGGAGTGTAGGTGCTACAAAAGGTTTGCTGAAGGAAAGAATGAACCAGCACAATTATGAGCACCCCCAATGCCATAGAATCCTAGAGTCCTGGGGCTCAGTCTCACGGTTGTGTCTCCACAAGTCTCCTGAGCATCTCGTCAATGCTCATTTTGATGCTTCATCACACAGAGACTGTGGGCAATCTGACTTTTGCACCTCCCCAGCCAAGTCATATGCTTCCTGGGGACACACACCATGTTCTCCTCTTCCCTGCAACTCTAGGGCTGAATAAATGCTAACTGCTCAGCCAACACCGACTGGCTTCTAGGAGAAATGGATGGATGGGTAATAAGCTATTTATTTGTTTCTTGGGGGCACTTTACTCTGAGACCCTAGAGCCTTTACACTGCATCTTTTCTGGAAGCAATAATAGCCAGCCATCAAGGGCAAGTAAATGCATTTGACCTTTCCTACCAAAAAGAAAAGTTAGTTCATGTACTTCAACTGTCATCTGATTTCTACTTCACTTGTGCAAGGACGCTGAGGAATCCAGAGCAGGAAGAAAAACCACAGTGCTAGCTGCGAAGCACTTTCCACACCCCTAAAGGTTACTGTTCTTTCCCCCATAGCTGTCCGGCTCTTGAACCCCAAATCAGACTTGCACAAAGCCTTGCTGCTTCAGAGTGCTTGGTAAATTGACTTTTCTTTTTTTTTTTTTTTGAGAGGGATTCTCACTCTGTCGCCCAGGCTGGAGTGCAATGTTGCGATCTCAGCTCCCTACAACCTTGACCTCCCAGGTTCAAGTGATTCTCCTGCCTTAGACTCCAGAGTAGCTGGGATTGCAGGCACCCGCCACCACGCCCAACTAATTTTTGTATTTTTAGTAGAGACGGGGTTTCACCATGTTGGTCAGGCTGGCCTTGAACTCCTGACCTAAGGTGTTCCACCCACCTCAGCCTCCCAAAGTTGGGATTACAGGCATGAGTCACTGCACCCGGCCTGGTAAATTGACTTTTCTAACCAGGCCTGTAAGTTCCTCTGTGGGTAACTGGCACAACACCTGGCCAACTGTCAAGCAGTCGACGCTGCCATTGCTGCTGCATCACTGTCACCAACAAGGTTTGTCATTGCAGGAAGTCTCCAAGACCCCCATGAAAAACCTACATTTCCTGTCATGATGTTGAGGCTGAGATCATCTTCCTCCTCCCAGAACACTTGGGGGTTCTAGTCTGAAGCCATCCTCACTCTCACTCCCCTCCTTCAAGCCCTCACCCTGTGCCTGAATTCTTCTTTCTTTGCTGGACCAGATGGACAGTGGAAGACCGGAAGTGGGGAACTCCTTCAACAACGCCTATGGCAGAGGGGAGCCATGGGAGTTGGGTACGGAAATGTAAAGACCAGCCCATGCGGGAAAAACAGTAACTTTTTAGCACAGTGTCATCTGAAAATGAAAGGGAAGAGAGGCTCTTGGTGGCAACAGAGGAGCATGACTTCCATCCTCAGGGCTAGCACCTGACCCCTGCTCTCCATCCACGTCGGAAAAACACCACTGCCCCCTGAGAATCCATTGCAGCTGAGGTCCTTCACCCCAATAGCTGCACTCAAGCTGCCAACTGAAGCACAGAACACTGCCCACACTTCAGGGTTGTGCATGTGTGCCCCGCTGCCTCCAGGGGTGGCTGCCTTCCGCCAGAGAATAGACAGTTGACATCCTGAGGACATAGAGAGTTGATAGGGATGACTGCAGCCAATGGCAAATTCTCTGGATGAAAACCCATTCCCAGCTCCACAAAGATGAGCATAGTGAAGGCTGCAGTTTAGTTGGTTCGTGGTTCCCCAGAAGGCTTTCAAACATTCAGCAGTTGTCATTCAGTGCCAGGCACCCAGTACAAAGCTGAGTATAGAGTTGTGAGCAACACAAGCCCGAACGTGTGGAGCTTCCTGTCTGGTGGGGGTGTTGCAGGGGGCAGCAGGGGACCTTGCAACCTGGAGGAGGGCTCGGAAGAAAAAAAGTAGGATGCTTGGGTCTTTCCAAAAAATGGGTCCTCTCATGTCTGTCCAATCGCTGTGCTGGGTAACTGTCTATTTCTGATACCAGACCCAAGCTTGGCCATAATTAACACCTTACTCTGCCATAAACGCACCCCCAAGGCTGCCCGCAGATCACCCTCATCCTGGTTGCTGAGCTCAGCATGAACCTAATCCCAACCTCAGAAGCATCCCTCAGCTCCAGCAAGGGGCAGGCTTTCATTCCAGGCCCCTTAAGTTGGATGCAGACAACCACCTACTTTCTGGGCAGGGCCAGCCTTCTCCAAAGACCTGATATCACTGATGCTAGCTGAATGAGCACAGGGCAAGGGAGTGCGCCGAGGGGGACTCTCACCCCGCCATCTCCAGAAGCTTCCGGAGTCTTGGAGCCGTGGATGGCAAGCAGACACTGGGGAGAAAGCTGAGAAGTGGGGAGAGCTGCCTTAGATGCTGAGCTCTCTGCCTGGAATGCTTATATGCTTTGTGCAGCAAAGTCCTATTTGTCCTTAAAGGACCAAGCCTGATGTCACCGCTTCCGGAAGCCCTCCTTACACCAGCACTCTCCAGCCTACAGCATGTGTCAGAATCTACTACAGTAATTACTGGGACCCAGTCCTAGTGTTTTTCTTCAGTAGGTCTGGGCTGGGGCCTGAGAATTTCTATTTCTAACAGGCTCCCAGAGGATGCTGTGTGTTCAGAGACTATGCTTTGAGAACCACTGTCTCACAGCATCTGCACCTTCCCAGACAGCCTCGAGCTTCCTCTCTATGCTGACGATGATCTACTACTATAGGGCAGCTCTGGTCCGGCTAAAGTGCCGCTTCCCTGGAGTCTGTCACATCGGGAGACATGTGTAAATCAAGCTCCACACACTTGGAGGACATGGGGCATAGAGGGAGTAGTTCCAGCTGAGGGACTTTCCTTCCCAGCATGCTTCTTAGTGGGCATGAGCATGGAGGGAGCCCACATTGGGAGGCCCAAGTGGCAATGTCCCAGAGGTCTCAGGCCCCACCCATCCCCCAGCCTGGCTGGCCTGCTGAAAGTGGGTATAGTCTCCCAGTATACAGATGTGGGTACAAGGTCCCTAACAACAAGCCAAGAAATGCACCCCAAGTCGTTCAAGCCAAATGGAGAGCAGCTTACCAAGGCTCTCCACTTGGCAGTGCGCTACAAGACAAAACACACTGACTCAAAGCTGCCAGGGCTTCAAATCACAGACTTCTGACTCTCAAGGTAGCTGTACAAGCCGGGGAGAATAACACTTTTCTGGGACTCAGCTGCCAAATCTGTAAAATGGGGCTAATAATAACTCCTATGGAGTGGAACTGTTGGAAGGCCTGAGTTAAAATACATTAAATGTTGAGAGCAGAACCTGGCACTTAGTATGAAAGTATTACTTGTTTTAAAGGAAGAGGAAATAACAGTCTCTTCTGACCCTGATTCTGTTGGACAAACTGTCATAAGAAATGCTGTCTTCACCGGAAATTTTCTGAGGGCCGTTCTGGGTATTTGAGCTTCTGTAACCATCCATGTCTACTTAAGCAAGGTGTTATTCTTTCTTTCTGAACTTTGAGGTGCTTGGTGATTGGAAAAGCCGAGAAGTCCACCACTAAATCCATTCATTTATATATGCATGCATTTACTCATGCATTCAGTGAACATTTATTGAGTACCTACTAGGTGCTAGATACTAAATTGGAAGCTGCACTTGTTCACACTGTATAACAAAGTCCAGCACCCACCTGAACTTGCTATGGTCCTGCTTCAGGTCTTGCTACTGAGAAGCACTGAGAATGCTGGACCCTCCACCCTACCTGGTTCCTGGCTCCCCAGACCCTGACTCCTGGTATGTTCACTGGGTCCCTTTGCTAACTCGATGCTTTGTATTATCTTCTTCCCCACCTCTAAGCTCCTTGCTGGCCCCAGACACCCCTAGCTTGGCCCACCTGCTTCCTACTGTGGACCCCTAGCTGGGAAGTCTGTTTTCCCCTCACCCAACCAGCTTCCTGACCCCAGCAGCTGGTTTCTTATAAGAAAGAGGCATCTGGCAGCTGCACTGGGGAGAATGACCTCAAAACACTATAATTAAAGTGATTTTCTGAGTGGAAATGACTATTATGAAGCATCCTTCTCTGTTTTATTATGCAGAGCCATTGTAATGGGAACATGGGATTTCCTATATTAACACTGATATTTCTGTGATCTAATAAATCCTTCTACACAATCATCTCCCAGAGGAGAGAAGGCATTCTGTGCAGCAACTCTAGGAAACATGCAGGTCTCTGATGTCCTACACATCCCAGCCCTCTTTGGCCAGGCCATTAAGCCGTGAAAAAACGCATTCAGTAACTGGGATAGTGTCATAGACTGGTCCTTCCCACACGACAGTCAATGGAAAGACCTAAGGGAGGGCTTCTGGAACGACTCCTCAGACAGGAGCCCTGGGAAGGGATTCTCCAAGAGAGAACGTCCACTCCAGAGGCAAGAGCACTGGCTAAGTCCTGACCTGACTCTGAATGAGCTGTGTGATCATGGGCACATCACATCTCTGAGCCTTGGTGTTCTTCCTGTGACATGGGCCAATAACACCAGGCACCTCATAGGATGGCTGTGAAGACTGCATGATACAGTAGATAGAAGACAACTAAAGCAACACCTGGTGCTATGGTTTGGATGTGGTTTGACCCTGCAAAAGCCCAAGGTGAAAATTGAATCCCAAAGGGGCAAGGAAGGGAAGGGGGAACCGGGGGGAAAAAATTGAAGCAAAAGGAACAAACCCCCAAGCAAAAAATAATACCCCATTGAGGAAGGAAGAGAGTTCTTTCTGTCATGAGACTGGACTAGTTACCTGAGAGCAGGTTGTTATAAAACCAAATTCAGCTTTCTAAACTCTCTTGCTTTCTGCATCACCTATGGTCTCTTTGCAAATGTCTGCTCCCCTTCTGCTTTTTGCCATGAGGGGGAGCAGTATGAGGCCCTCAACAGATGCAGCTGCCCAATTTGGACTTCCCAGCCACTAGAACTGTGAGCCAAATAAACCTCTCTTCTTTATAAATTACCCAAGTATTCAGCTATAGCAACACAAAATGGACTGAGACCCCTGGTGTAAGCATCAGATACTCCACAAACATTCTGTCATAAACATAACAAGAGTCCCTGCCTTCATACACACCACAGATAACTGTTGAGCATCTACCAGGTGGAGGCACCACCCTCAGTGCAGGCATATGGCAGAGAACTCTAATGGACCTGGAGTGACCTGGTGGTTCAGGTTCAAACAGTTCCATCCCAGTCAGTGACCAACCAGAACCTGGCTCCTGGTCTGTGCACCCCTGCTAAGAGTCGGTGGGTGCACCACACTGCTTCTGTCCACTTGGGCCTATTGACAGAGCTGCTCTCACCTGAGCAAAGGATGCAGCTTGGGCCAAGGTGCTGCTAGGCATGGAGAGTCTTCCTCTCTGACCTCAGATTCTTGTCCTCTGTTCACAGGGCCTGATCCAGGAATGTCCTCCCACTCCACCACAATGGACATTACCACCATTGACGGTGAGCTCTCATCGCACAGCCCCACCACAATGTACACTTCTATCACTGCAGGTGAGCTGTCATCACAGAGCCCTTCAAGCAGCCAGGGTCGGGGGCCTTGGTGAAAACATCCAGGGAGAACTGACCTAAGGACTTGGGCATGGGGGGCTGTGGTCATTTTTTCTCTCCTTCAGAGGTGTTTTTGAATGTGAAATGGAGGAGTCTAGCCCTGGGTAAATATATATACATATGTGCATCATACATATCTGTGTATGTATTTATTGGCCTTCCTCAGGGCTGTTGACTCAGAGGAACTCAGGGGCTGGAGAGGCAGCAGCTTTGGTGAGGGAGGTTGAGGGTGGAGGTGGGATGAGGGTAGACTGACCAGGCTACTTAGACTTCTCCACCATCTCCCTCATCCCACATTATTTTCTGCCCTGGGTCCATGCCCCCAAATCTCCATCCTCAAGGAAACTTGAGCCTGCCTTTGCCTTGCTTTGAACCGTGAGCAAGTGGATCCCCACGGGTCATGGCTGTGACTGCAAACTGTGTCACGAGAACAACCAAGTTTGGGAGGTGCTGTGTGCTCTGTGACCTTCTTGAGATCCACACTTCTCAGTAGCTTATTAATAACTCAGGAAATATCTACAATTTTAAAAGATACAAAAAGCAGCAGCAGCAAGTAACCAAAGACACCTATTGGACTCTGTGTACCCTGGCATTCTCCAACTTATTGCACTGCTGAGCATTTTTCTTCTTAGGTGGTATTATTAACATTATGCAGACACAAGTGTTCCCCTGAAGGCAGTAGGAAGTTTAGGAAATTGTTCTATAAAGGTGGGACTTGGGAGCAGTTTCAGACTTTCCATATTCTTCAGCAGTCCCTCCCCAAGGCCTCCAAAGAAACCTGCATTCTAAGAAAAGGCACAGGCTTGTTCTGCAGCTTCAAAGTAAATGCCCAAACTCAAAACAGCCCTGCCCCATGAGACTGCTGCCCCATCACTCTCAAGGCCCTGAGTGATCTGACCCCTCCTCAGTCGCCTCACACTGTACTTCTCCATCCCTCTGGAGTCCCAGGAGAAGTGAGGGGTGACTGCTCCCCCACCCACACATAACCAGCACCTCGTCATCCTCTTCGTTACCCTCTCCCACTTCAGTCCTTTGTGTGGCCAAGTCCTGCTCCTCCTGCAGATTCGCTGCAGTCCTCACTCCCCGGGAGGGAATGGGAGCAGGGTAGGGTGAGGAGCAGCCATCAGGCCATTGAAAAACACAAACCACACAACCTGTCCCAAGCACAGTTAATGGCCTCATCTTTTCCCCCTGTATAGTGTACACAGAGCAACCAGCTCTGCCTTGTTTTCTGGGGCTTTCATGGTTTTAGAATGGAGGAGCTCCAAGCAAGGTCCTGGCAACTGTTGCAAGGACTGAGTTAAAATGCATTAAATGTTGAGACCAGCACCTGGCACCTAGTAAGCAATTATTAGTTGTTTTAAAGGAAGAGGAAATAACAGTCTCTTCTGACCCTGATTCTGTTGGACAAACTGTCATAAGAAATGCTGTCTTCACCCGGAAAATTTCTGAGGGCCGTTCTGGGTATTTGAGCTTCTGTAACCATCCATGTCTACGTAAGCAAACTGTTATTCTTTCTTTCTGAACTTTGAGGTGCTTGGTGACTGGAAAAGTCTAGAAGCCCACCACTAAATCCATTTATTTATATATGCATGCATTTACTCATGCATTCAGTGAACATTTATTGAGTACCTACTAGGTGCTAGATACTAAATTGGAGGCTGCACTTGTTCACACTGTATAACAAAGTCCAGCACCCACTTGAAGTTGCTATGGTCCTGCTTTAGGTCTTGCTACTGAGAAGCACTGTGAATGCTGGACCCTCCACCCTACCTGGTTCCTGGCTCCCCAGGCCCTGACTCCTGGTGTGTTCACTGGGTCCCTATGCTGACTTGATGTCTTATATTATCTTTTTCCCCACCTCTAAGCTCCTTGTTGGTCCCGGACACCCCTAGCTTGGCCCACCTGCTTCCTGCTGTGGACCCCTAGCTGGGAAGTCTGTTTTCCCCTCACCCACTATGACTCCTGACACCAGCAGCTGCTTTCTTATAAGAGAGTGAAAAAAAAGAAGGAAAGAAAGAAAAGAAGACAGGAAGGAAGGAAGGAAGGAAGGAAGGAAGGAAGGAAGGAAGGAAGGAAGGAAGGAAGGAAAAGAGAGAGAGAAGGAAAGGAAAGGAAAGGAAAGGAAAGGAAAGGAAAGGAAAGGAAAGGAAAGGAAAGGAAAGGAAAGGAAAGGAAAGGAAAG